ATTTTTCCAGGGTAAAACATAGAGCTATCAGTGACTCTTAACACAAATAACTACTTTTACTTAAGAGACACGACTCTAACACAACCTTTATCTAACATAAATAATTAGTTATATAATTATTAAATCTAAACTCAATTATCGACCAACAATTAGAAGTTCATAAGACGCTACAATTTTTTTTTAATTTGTTTGATCTTTCGGTTTGCTAGTATCCGTATAGATTAATTTGCAAAAATAGATTAAACCAAGAAGGTCTATGTTTTCTATGTAAGTTTGCTCGTTATGAATTAGCTTATTTTTTAGGATATACATTTTTCTACTTAAACATTGTGTTTATTATTCATAATCAAAATGATCCTGATGCTAATATCAAAAATGTTCTTGTAGTTTGATTGTGAATTAATTTACAATTATTTTATAATAGAAATATAAAGAATAACAAAAAAAAGAATATTAAAATCGTCATTCTTGGATTGCTGCATAGGAGCTTTGAATCTTCATTGTCTGAAGTATGTTATCAGTCTTTATGACTATGTTGATGTTTGATGCCGATTATGCAGATTTAATCTTTTATACGAATATGGATTTGATCTTTTTGTTGGCAATCAAAAGAAATTGTCAAACATTATAGCGAAGTTAGATGTTTTGAAAATGCTAAAATCTTCTCAATTTTTTAGTTTATTGTTGTTTTCTTCCATGTATTAATATACGTATAGATTACTTTGTGAAATAGAAAAAGCACAAAGATCTATGTTTTTATATATTAGTTTGCTCGTTATAAGTTAAGTTCTTTTTGCGGATGATATATGAATCTGAGCATCCTCCAGTCCTTTACCAATACAGGAAGAAGTCTAGGACCCATAAGCCTTAGAGAGACAACTTCTTTGACCCAATTGGAGTGTGGCCTTCTCTTGGGATCAATTTCTTCTAGAAAGACAAATGGAATGAGTCATGTCAAGGGAGTGATGCACGAGATTTCACATGGTGAGAGACACCACATGACCTGCTTCTTATTTAAGGAGAGGAGAGGCTTCATAATATCTCTCACCTTGTATTACTTTGGATTTTGTGAGAATAAAGCGTTGTTCTTATTTGATTCATTGTTTTACATTGTATTCGTATCAACTTGGTATCAGAGCTTTTTTTAGATCATCGGGAAAATGCCTTTGAAGCCAGACAAGAAGATCTCGGAAATTGAACATACCGTGGCGAGTTTACAAAAGGAAATAGGAGAGATGAAACTGACGGCAGAGAGACAAATGGGTGTGTTGGACATGATCGAAGAAGCGGTGGCTAAACAGATGGAGAAGGAAGCCACGCGTACCTCGATTCATCTCAGCTCCCCACAAGCGACATCAAAGCCTGCGAGAGGATCGAGAAAAACGATCGCCCACGAACCACTGGAACGGCCTGAGATATCCTGATGATTGCTTAGAACAGGGATTTACATATGG